AACGTGATTTGCATATATCAAACTTTTGCTGTGTTCTTACGCAACAAAAGTACCATTTCAGTTCTAAAAAATCTATCCTGAGCTATACGTTCGGTAGATTACTTTTTTTTGAGTTTCACTATATTCAATAGTTACCTGCGGTTTTGCCTCAGCTTACTATTCGGTTTTTTTTGTTTTTCACGTATTGACTAGTTTCAGTTTATATCACTCGTTTTGTCCGTTTTTGTCCGTTTTCAGTGTGCATTTTAGTGTTTTTTTTTAAAAGGTCTTAAGCTTTTGCCAGCATCTATAACATAGTTTGCTTCAACACCGTCATGAAAAACTCATGCAAACGTCCGGGATGCCGTTTTGCTGTCACAACTGGCATGCAGTGTGACAACTGCAAAGGTTGGTTTCACGAAGCATGCACAAATCTGACAGCAACTGCTTACAACAAACTCAGCAAATCAGACCAAAAGTGGGTATGTGTCACGTGCAACACGGACGCAGTAGTCTTGCTGAGTAACATCATTGTCCTACTGACAGGTCTTCGAAACAAGCTGTCAGTTAACTTGGAATACGACAGTAAAAAAACCGATATACAAACAAGAGCGCGCAACGGACTCAAAAATAGGGATGTCGATAGGTATGTCATTGATGGAGCATCCATCAACACTAACGACGACGTGTCGAGGCTCAGTACCATCATTACGTCGACGGTACTAGACTCCCTAGGCAAACTCGGGTCTCCCAGCTCAGGGTCGCTGAACACAACAGTGGTTCCCAAAAACCCTGCAGGCGATTCGACCCACGTTAAGAGAGCCCAAAAGAACCAGGCATCACCGCCTAAGTCGAGCAACCCAAGTGTTGCTGCACGGAAAATAACTGGTGATTTAGTCGCACAGTCTACCCCCAAGACTGTTCGTCCGGTCAGTAAAGAGCCCAAGATTCATAAACGCACACTGACCTCCAAAAAACAAGTTATTAAACCTGAACCCATCGTGAAACCTGGTAAACTAACAACAGTTCGGGAAGATTCTCTCATTATCATGAACCTCGTCGACAATCCTGACCTTCCTCTCAGTCTGCAGGATAAAAACGACAGGATGCTGTGGGGTGAATTGAACAAAAAGCTCGAACTTCCTAGAATAGAGCCTTTGACGGTCACCCGGCTCACTCGAGGAAAGGATTCTAAGCATCTAAATCACCCGAGGCTTCTCCGAGTAACACTTAAGAATGCTACCGACGTAGAGGACGTCTTGCTAGCAAGTCACTTACTGAAATCAGATGGTAACGTAAGAATATTGCCCGACATACCGTACTCTGAGCGCAATATCATACGTAACGTCCCTAAAGAATCTCGCGAGAAGTTTTTCCGCGGACGAAACATAATTGTCCAAGGTATACCGGAAAATGCAGACCCTACTCACTCAAATTCTGACATCAGGGAATGGAAATTCATCAAACAGTCCTTGAGGCTCAAACACATACTGACTCAGCATGTGACGAGACTAGCCAAGAAGGACGGTGATCTTAGACCCCGCCTAATGAAGATAACCTTCCCATCTTCCCACATGGCGGCTGCAGTTCTGGAAGCATTTCGTGCTAATAGACGTCGATTGCCACCTGGAATCCACATGCACCCGGATAGGCCATACGAAGTCAGGACCAAGAACAAAGGCAAGCTGGAGCTGACCATTCCACTTGTGGACTGTCTAAACGATAAAAAAAACGTGTAAAGGACAGGGCCTACCACCTCGGCAAACCTCATATAGGTGGGCTACCTGTCCATTCACATAAGGTTCATACAGAAAAACAGGACGAAGCTCATGCGTTCCAAATTGAAAGCATAAACTGCTTATATATGAACGCCGCGAGTTTACCAAACAAACTGGATGAACTACGTGAACTTAGCAACGCCAACACGGCCCATCTGATAGGAATATCTGAAACCTGGATATCTTCTCAGTTCTCGGATCAAGAATTAGCATTGCCTGGGATGACTTTGTTCCGCAACGACAGAAAAATAGGAATTGGGGGCGGAGTAGCCATATACATAAGCTCTTGCTTGGAGGTGCACCAGGTTCACAACCTCGAGTTTAACAATCTTGAGGAATCCATATGGTGCTCTGTAAGGTTGTCTAGTACTTCCAGGTGTCTAGTCGGAGTCATTTATAGGAAGCCAACTGCCGACACCGAGTACGATAGTCGTATGCTGGAAGGACTATCCCGCTCTATCCGTCTCGGTTTCACACACATCCTGATTCTAGGGGACTTTAATCTCCCTAGAGTCAACTTCGCGGAACACACGTACACTGGAGGCGACAACTCAACTGAAGCTCGGTTCTTCAACCTCATCGATAACTTGGGCTTATATGAAAATGTGAGGTCGGCAACTCGTTGGAGAAACAGTCAGACACCATCGCGCTTAGACTGTGTATTCACTAACGAAGAATTCCTAGTCGACAACCTCTCAATCCTGGCTCCTCTGGGAAAAAGCGATCATGCCGTCATAGCCTTCAGTTTTGTCATCAAAACTAAGCTAAGGTATCCCAACAATAATTTGCGATGGAATTTTAAACGGCTGAATGTGCGAGCTCTACATGACCATCTACAACAGGTGGCTTGGGATGTTCACCCTCAAATCGATGTGGATGGTCATTGGGACTTCTTGCTGCACACGCTCTTATGTGCTACAGACCATTCAGTTCCTCAAACGGTTCCCAAAAGCTTCAAGCCACCTACAGTAATCAAGAACCGTACCCTTCGCCTCCTAAGCCGCAAACGGCACTGTTGGGAGGAATACAAACGAACTAATAACGATGGAGCGTATAGGCAATACAAACATATCAGGAACACATGCACGAAGGCTATAAGAGAAGACAGGCTTCAGTACCAAACAAAGCTTATGGACAAATTCGCCTCTAACCCTAGAAGCCTATTCCGTTATGCAGCCTCTCTTCGTCAAGCCAAAACAGGAGTTTCTCAACTGCTAGGTCCTAACGGCCCGACCAACAACGATGGCGACGCCGCTAACCTTCTGGCGGCCCATTACTCTCAAACATTTCAACCGGCTGATATCAACTTTATTGACGACAGTTTCATCTGCAATTCCACAGGACTTTCTGAAGTGGACCTAAGCGCTGACTTGGTGTTCCGGAAACTGCAGCACTTAAGACTTGACACTTCTCCTGGCCCGGACATGGTTCATCCTGCCATACTGAGGGAGGCAGCCTCAATCCTGGCAACGCCGCTTAGCGTGATGTTTTCACACTCGCTTAGCCGAGGCAAACTACCGGAAAATTGGAAGTTGGCTCACATCACACCAATTTTCAAAGGTGGTCGACGCAATGAACCTTCAAGTTACCGGCCGGTAGCTCTTCTGTCGTTACCTTCAAAACTCATGGAGTCCCTGATATGCGACGGTTTAAATGACTACCTACTGTCCTTAAATTTCTTCTCACCCCAACAGCATGGTTTCAGGAAGGGTTACTCTTGTATAACCAACCTGCTGACTGCGGTGGACAGATGGACAAGCATCCTCGATCGCAAGGGAAAGGTTGATGTCATTTACCTTGATTTCTCAAAAGCTTTTGATAAGGTTAACCACTTGTGTCTTATCAACAAGCTCAAACGACTAGGTATCAAACCACCTCTAATCGACTGGCTTACTTCATACCTAAAAAATCGACACTTTAAGGTTAGGGTCAATTCCACTTTATCTCAAGCTATGGAATGTCCTAGCGGGGTTCCCCAGGGCTCAGTACTAGGGCCTCTTCTCTTCTTGATCTACATAAATGATCTTCCTCAACAGGTAACGTCAGACTTATTACTTTTTGCCGACGACGTGAAACTTTGGAGAGAGATACGCAACCAAGACGATATACAGGCACTTCAAGAGGATCTGACTCGACTTCAAAGTTGGGCAGACGATAACGGACTTACCTTTAACACTTCTAAGTGTAAAGTAGTCCATCTGCGACATGTCGCAAACTACAGTTACAACTTAGGAAACACCTCTCTAGTAGTATCCCAAGTCGAAAAAGATTTAGGAGTCCTGGTGCCCCATGACTTAAAGTCTTACGCTAACTGTGACAAAAATGCCTTCCGAGCAAACCTTGCACTGGTAACGTTGAGGCGCATTTTTGGTCAGTTTGACGGAAGAACTTTCCACACAATCTTCAATAGTTTCATCCGTCCCCATTTAGAGTACGGAAACATAGTACTCCCCCCCTCACTCCAAAAGGATAAGGTCACTTTGGAGCGTATCCAACGGCGAGCCACGAAATCAGTTCGAGGACTCAAATCTAAGCCTTACGAAGAACGCCTTCGTTCACTAGACCTTTACCCACTAGAATATAGGCGTCTTAGAGGTGATTTATTAATGGCTTATAGTATTCTTAACACTTCTGGACATCCTCTTAAACACCTACTTAAGCTTAGTTCGAACAATAACCTAAGGGGTAACACCCAGAAACTGGAAACACAACATAGCAAGACGGAATGTAGACACAACTTCTACTCCTTAAGAGTTGTCAAAAGCTGGAACTCGCTGCCGGCCGAGCTAGTCCAAGCGACTTCTCAGGAGTCCTTCAAGAGGCAACTTGACCTATTCTTAAGGACCAAGGACAGCATCGCACTATGATTTACCAATTTCTTTTCCTCTTTTATTGTTAACATACCTAGGTTCCTGCCTGGAGGATTTGGTGATCCCCTGCTACTAGACACGGAAGCCTGTTAAGCGAAAGCTTCTTCTATTCCGTCCACAACCATTTGAACCATTTGAACCATTTGAACTTCTAGTAGACATGGAAGCCCGTTAAGCGAAAGCTTCTTCTATTCCGTCCACAACCACTTGATGCTTCTTTGCTTTTAAATATACACAGGTAAATACCTGATGTATTTGAAGATCTTCTGCCGTTGGATAAGGGAACTAACTAAGCAAGTGCCTCTACTATTCTCGCCTCAATCAATTGAAACCACTACTACGATAATACAGTGAAACATTTTGCGGCGGTCACGTAGAAACACAAGGTCATCCGGGCGGTTGTTTGTTCTCTAAAGGTAATGACTGCGAAAGAAACTCTGGATGAAGTAGGTATGATTGCATCTATCGTCCAAATAAGCACTCGTCAGTAATTGATTTTTACATTGAATGTTGAATTTTAGCTGGACCAAAAACAACGCTGCAATTTCAAGTAAGCTAACAATCTCCCGATTTCGGGTAAAATCTTGCCCAGTTTGGGGAAACAGCTATAGGAACCTTTGTAGGAAACCCAAAAATGTATCCAAAATAGGGAGATTGTGTGTGTTTGCTCAGAGAAACTCAGCCTAAAAATATCATTGTTGGTTTTCATTAAATGAGTGTGAAATGTGAGCTGGATGATTTTAGTCTAGTTCGTGCATCTGACTTGAAACATGTACAATACGTAAATTTCCTTAGGACAGTTATGATTCAGATAATTCACATCATATTTCACGGTGTTTACAAATTTTGTGTCTAGAAATCAAAGACCTGATGAAGGTTTAAGTAATTTAATAGAAAGAACGGGGATTTGCAAAAGATTTGGTTAATCACACCACATATTCATACATCAGCTAGCTTTGTCTCCAGCTCACGTGTTTAACAACTTAACTGAGGAAAGTGTCTCACGCTGTTCAAAAACTTCGATACAACGTAATCACTGGTATATGTATGTGCAAAGGTCTGTTTGTAGACATTAGATAGTTTGTTGTGATCTACTCGTTCCTTGGCATTGCGTCTCTGAGGTCGTTGATCATTATGCTTCCATTCCATCGAGCACAACCAGTACACCTTATTTGTCGTGGTTGTCTTTGATAAGCTCCTAATCATCACGAACTGGAATATTGACCAATGGAATATTTTCTAAAATATTTGGAAGATGATCTGTCTCCAAGCTTTCTTTTGGCTCCTGCTTCTGAATAAGCTGAAGTTTTTGTGTGTCAGATTTCTTATACTGAATGGTTAGTCATACCCAGTGTTAAATCTGACACTTGTATATCTAATCGAGTTGCCACATCGCACCAGCACAGTGAGATGAAATTGTCGAGAGTAGTAAAAGAAGTAACATTATCAGTAGTAGTCAAACAAATTAGCAACAAAAATGTGATCCAAGGAAAAAAGTAGCTTACGTACTATAAGGTAATTTAAAAACTCAGGAATTAAATGCGAGAAAAATATAAATGCAACTCCACCATTGCAACCGATTTTGAGCCACGTCACCAAACACTTTGTTTACGGTAATCGCATGTACCCCAACAAGGTAATCTGCACCTACCGGTATTCCACAAATTTTTCATAGCTGTGTAATGAATCAGAGTCAGCACAGCAAATAGTTACTGATTTATTCATGACTTCTCTAATTTTCATAGTATGGAGGAATGATTTTTTAAGAAGTATACATAATCAGTGAATTGGAGTTCTAAGTGAATTAGTGTCAGACATGGTGTCAAAATACTAAACTGTCCAACGTTCAAGATCTTTTCAGGAAGATCATAATCAAAGCAGTGAAACTTGATTGGGCATATGTGTTTTTCATTCGACTTCGCATAGTCAAATTTTGCGCTAGTTTAAGCAACTGACTAGTGTCATCATATCTGATTCATGAAACGGGCTTGAAGATGAGTACATAAATATTTACTTTGTTATTAAACTACATCTAATTTTATTTATCACCCCCAAAATGCCTTGGTACGGCCGAGAGTGGGTAGAGTTCGATCTCCATCTCGAAATGCTCTCACATGGCCACGCGTATATAGCCTCTTACAGGAAGTCATACTCACTTCATTCTCGCACAACGAGTGTTGTTTACGAAAATGAGAGGACGAGAAGCGAATGTCCAGCATTGGCTTTAACCGGGTTGGTGGACATAGAGAGTCCACCTAGGGGAGTTGGAAAACCCTTATTCCAAACCAATGGTGCACATGGGCTACAGCGTCCTGAAGGAGCAACTGGCGTAAGAACCAATCGTTGGTCACCGGCTACTATGGGACTGCATCTCGTTACGTTGCTCCACTGCTTTGTGGATCAGACTTTCAGATCGAAGGCTCCGGGTGTGGCCCTCTCTGGAAACCACCTGCTTCGGTTTGGGCACCCGGGCAGTATCACAGCCCTCACATATATCAAATGAGATCTGTGTGGCGCATATGCATTTGGTGCTTCATTGTACCAATATCTGTGTGTTAAAATAAATAAATAAAATAATTTTATTTATCTGATACACAATTGTAATCTTCAAAAAGAATATTCTTCATTATGCATATTTTCAGATTGGGAAACAACTCATAACTGTATTCACAAATTATTATGTGGTGTTCATTCAACTGAAGAGATTAAACATTCCATCGAAAATCTATTCAACAAGTTTTTACTTTCGAAATCTGACAATTCAAGTATACATCTATATATATCATTTTAATGATAACAATAAGTTTATGGATTCTTCCAAAGAGAGTATTTTACTTTTATGGAATTACATCCATATAGACGATATTGCATTATACAAGTATGTTATTAAATAGAGATCGTTTTCGGTTGTTTTAAAACATAATAGTTTATTCTTTTATTAGATCTAAATTACATTTCCGAACGTCTTTTAGTCATTTTGTCCAATAATGATCTGGATCATGTCAATTGGTCTCATATTCTTCAATTGATATCTGTTATGATCACATGTATTAAAGGAGGCGTGTCCACTGTTAAATGTAAGTTGGTTCATGTAATGCATGTATATATTTGTATATTCAGAATGGTGACTTAATTAATAAATTGCAAGTAAACTATGATGTTCAATGTCTGAGTTATTGAAATATCCTGTTTTCAACAATCATTAACAGGTTCATATACTTCTCTCTTTTTGCTTCGGTCTAAACAACTGAATGCTTGTATACACACAAAATATGATACAAATGCTAATATATAAGTTTGTAATTAGTTATGAAGTCACAATTATCTAAATTATTTTAGTTTACAACAGTATAAGGGGAAAGTGCTTTCTGATAAAAAGTAAAGTAAATTTTATAGGATCTCATAATAGAATTACATTGGTCTAAGTCTTGTCATACTACTTTAGAATAATGGGGATGGACTGAATAATATAAATAGTGAAGGAGTTTAATTCGTAGTAATATTAGTATCAATGGCACAAAGAAGGGTCAAATATAGTGAATATCATTTTTATTAGAAGGATGAGAATCACGAACTAAAGTATTACGCGTCGTGGTAATGGGTGTTCAGGCGTACGTAATACGTGGCCCAACCATCTCAATCGATGAAGATTCACAACCTCATCAATTGATTTACCATCATTTCCTAATACCTTGCGTCTAACCTCACTATCACTTGCCCGGTGATCCTAGCAGTTAGGTGATCAAAAATGTTTATACAGAGTATAGTTTTCGTTAAAGTTACAAATGATTGATCACGTTACGTATCAGACAATACTCAAGCCTACAAGCTCCACATGTATATTTTTTCATTCTACAAGTTATAGTAAGGCTTGGTGGCGTGGATTTGAATTCCACTGGGTGGATCATTTCCTTCAACATCTCACTTGCGCCGACTTACACAAAGCCTGTGTTCATGATGAACTAAAGCAATGGAGATATAGATAAAATTACGGAAAAATTCGTAGAAGGAAACAGTTATACTTACTCATTTACTAAGGTGCTCCCTCATCAATAATTGTGTCCAATGATATCTTAGGGCAGATCCCAAAACTTTATTAGCCTTTGTAAACTTGACTCACTTGTGACGTATGTAAGATTTCCATCTTCCAATCGAAGAGCTAGCATACTTCTCAGGATTTCTTTTCGTGTTACTGTATGGCTGTGAAACATGGTGTTGTAAATGTGAAAATATTGGAAGCCATAGGTTTACGAGCATATGCATATTCAAAGTATTGCTTGTGTATGGTTAGAAAACTGAGGGAGCAGTGTTTAGGCAAAGATAAGGAACTTGGAAAAGCCGACAAATTGGTTGACAAGGTTGCAAATCTTGATCAACTGAAGTGATTAAGACACTACCTGGTTATCTTCAGTCCGATCACCCCAATCAATGGTTGGAGATGTTGAGTCACATAGCTCAGACTCGATCACAACGGTACAGATGCACTTACTTTGTTTTACTGTAGATCTCGAATTTTAGTATCCCTCCATATTTACTATAACATTTTGCCATTTTCCAACCATAGTCTTGATCTTCAATGTTTCTCATTCTCATTATTATTATTATTATTATTCTTTTCCAGTTATAATTCATCAACTTCTATTGTCATTATTCAATTCAAATATGAATTATATCAACAATGATAATGTTGATTTAGATTGTTTACATTTATTAGATGATGTATTTATTCATAAAAGTCAATTGAATGTTTTAACATCAATTAAACATGATAAACAATTATTGATAGGAGTTTTATTAATTGCACGTCAATTATGCTCAGAAGATAATCGATTGACTGGGATAAATTATAAACAATGGTGGATGGAAACATTTTGTAATCCATTACTATCAACACATAATAATACACAGAATGTACTTTCATCACGTTGTGCTGTAGTTTATTTTTGTGATTTACTCATTGAACTATTACCTTGGGAAACCGATCCAAAATTTCTACAAATTCAAGTCAACACTCGACCTAATTGGTTTAATCTTGTAAAAAGATCAATGAATAATAATCGAATCAAAATTCATACTGATAAAATTCGTGTAAAACCGACTGAATTAATTGTGTCATTCAATGAAGATGAGTTAATAATCCCGATTGATTTGGAATGTACAAATATGATAACTGATAGTAATAATCATAATCATAATACCTACATAGAATCTTGTATAAATCGATGGAATGATTATTGTGAAATTGCACAAGGACGGTTAGCTGAATTAAGGGTAAGATCGAATAATTCTTGGTTAGATGATACAATGATTATGTATGTTAATCACGTTAGCACTTATCCTTTCAAATGTACTAGACCTATCCTATATTATGTTTTACTAAACTAAACCTCGGGATTTCAATGACAGTTTCGATTGGTTATTTGTCTGTCTTTATTTCAATCCTTATCAAATGCTTGTCAGTCAGTCAGTCAGCTACAACGTGGGACCAGGCACATATATGCATTGGTCCATGTTGCTATACCGCGCAGTATAATTGTCCTTTAATTGATAGACGGATATCTTGCCTTCGCCATAGGTGACGTATGATGGCAAAAGCCAAACGACCTTTTTGAATCTGTGCTGAGATTTCGTCAGACAGCAACTCATTAAGGATGATCAGACCTGTAGTAAACAATCGTTGCACAGATTACACATCATTTGTTAATCAAGATTAAATTGTTTAGTTTTTAGTTCTGATAAAAGCTTATTGATCAAAGATGATTATACAGAGTATGTTCTTCGTTAAAGTTACAAATGATCGATCATGTTAAGTATCAGATAATGCTCAAGCCTACAAGCTCCACATGTGTATTTTTTCATTCCTTAAGTTTCGATGAGGCTTAGTGGCGCGGGTTTGAATTCCACTGGGTGGATCATTTCTTTCAACATCTCACTTACCCCTTTATAATTAGTGCCGACTAACATGAAGCATGTGTTCAGGGTTTCCTACCAACTGCCCTCAATCATTATCAGTAATTTTTGATGTGTATCTATATATTGCGGCATTGCGGTAACTGAAATCAATAAATAAGATTTTTTGAAATTTCTTCCAGGAACACTGTTGTGCAACAAAAATGGTCATAACGGATAAAAAAAATCTCTGATTGTTCAGATGCTTATACTACTCCAGGATGGAGTGATGTTCTAAATTGGCTAAATGAAATCGCGACACAACGTACTGTTGATTATTGTAGTGGTGATATTTCTAAATGTCGATTACCGTCCGAATGGAATGAAGTAAATCTGTTTCGGTAAGTTCTTGCAACCGAATTCTATGTTTTATCCTTTATACTAAAATATTTCGATGGTTTCGCCGACTGCGTATTTCGATTAATTGGGTAGTACGACTTTTCATATTGATCAATCAAAACAGAAAACCTTTTTACTTTTTGTAAATAACTTTCTCGTTTCCAAGCATGTGTAGAGAATCTCATTGTACTCAAATCAAAACTCGACTTTCATTCGTAAGGTTACAGACTTTAACCACACCTTATCTACTTGAGTTTAGTTCGATTGTAGCTGCCACATTGAAGTCTTGGTCGGGTTTAACTATTTTTGAGATTTGACTGAACTATATTGGCTAGAATACTTGTTCCTTTGTATCGTACTATTTCAGTCTGGTCGATTGGAATGTGATAATACTAGAAAAAGCTGCTTAAAGTCCGAAGGTAAAGTCGTACTGCTAATTATACTGGGGTGTGATGGCAATAAAACAGTTTTCTCAGACGAACAGTGTCTATAGTGATGCTGTCTTCTTACAGCTGGAGGAGAGGTTTAAAGAAAATCAACCCTCGAAATATCACACCTCACCTTGCCCCATGGATCTTTGTATTCGATCGTAAGACCTTGAAAGTCAGAGCTAACACATCAAGAACTACTCATAAAAAGCACTGTATAAACCATCTCAAGCACTGCGGTCACAACCACAGATAGCTAAGTCAGATAACTCAAACAGAAGTACTTTTCCACTGTATGAGCAACCGAGAAGTGTCAGCTGTTCCCCTGCACTTCTAACAGTACCTCTCGATTTCGTTTAAGCTCGTTGTAGTTGGTGTCTGTAACTCTTGCATTATAAAAGCGTGACAAAGTTAAACAGATGTGTACTTGTTTACTTAGTTCACTCAGTCAGTTACGACGTAGGACCAGGCATATATATGCATCGGTTCAAGTTGCACAACAAGGTGAACACCGAATTCATAGAAGCAGTTACTATAATGATAGTGAAAAAACATTTCATACAAGGATATGAGTTTATTTAGTCTCATAATATTTCGTTTTTTCACCGAGCATATACCAGTTATTGTCTCATCAGTGATTCTTTTAGAAAACTGGTTATCTGTTTCAACCTTTGCATAGTGTTTCTCTTTTAGGAAGTAGAAATTTAATGGGAAATACTTATATGTTATTGTTAAGTTTATTACTTGAGTACGACTAATACGACATACGACTTCAGTACTAGGGAGTTGGAAAACCCTTATTCCAAACCAATGATGCACATGAGCTCCAGTGTCCTGAAGGAACAAATGGCGTATGGACCAATCGTTGGTCACCGGCTACCATGGGACTGCAGCTCGTTACGATGCTCCACTGCCTTGTGGATCAGACCTTCAGGTCGAAGGCTCCGGGTGTGGCCCCCTAAGAAAACCACCTGTTTCGATCTGGACACACGGGCAGTATCACAGCCCTCACACATGTCGAATGAGATCTGTGTGGCGCATATGTATTTGGTGCTTCCTTGTACCGATATCTATGTGTTAAATAAATAAATAAACAAGACGAGACCTCATCAGACGATAAACTGAGACCGAAGGTCATGGGTTCGAATCCTGCGTGCGGGACCGTGGATGCGTTATTCCGAGAAGTCCTATACTACGACGAAACGTCTGTCCAGTGCTTCCAGGTTGTCGATGGTGGTCTAACATTGATCGGTTCACGGTCTCAATCAAAGCTTAACACCCTTCACAACCTTATACTGATGAAATGAAGAAATAATTACACAAGATCAAGCCAAAACTGGATGTGAGTACGGGAGATGATAACTAATAAATTGGGAATAAATTAAGAATGGTAGATCGGATGACAGTGGCTAATAGGTCAAATAAAGGCTTATAACAAAAGGAATATGAATGTACATATAATCTATTTACTTAATAATTGTCCAGTAAGAATATATGTAATAATAGTCCATAAATAATCCGTAGCAGTTTCCATTCACTCATCCTTCGTTCGAATGTAATAGATTGCTTAAACAAAAATAAGGGTTAGCTAATTCAAGAAATCCTATAAATTTATCAAATGGTTAAATTTTGGTCATAGTCGTTTTACGAGATACAGACTTTCCAGTTTGAATGCTTAAGATTTCCCTAATTGATGGTTATAAACTTCAAGTAACATGACTCGAAATTAGTTAATGTCACAGTGACCACTTGTGGTCGTGCGGTTTATTCGCGGGTCAAACGGTGAAACTGTAACGTTTATAAATGATGCGGTCCGAACCCCTCAAAAAAGTAGTAATATCCTGAGGTTTTGAAAGACTCGTTGTATTTGAATAACCAGTGCTTCTCATCGAATACCTCCAACTGTCAACCATCATGTTAGATATTCGGTATTGTTCAATAACTAGTGTGCTGACCACATTTCAACTTAATCAGTAGAGTTTTATCAAAACTAAAGACTAAACAACCATAACATTATAAAGTGACCACTTAATACAAAAGTTAACTATTTTATTGATTTATTGCTTTGTTGTTGGGGATGGGGGACAACAGTCCACGTTGGCTTCGATCTACACTGATTCCAGCTTTATTAAATGCACCTGAAATAGAACATTTATCAGCTGAGTTAAAATTTGCACGTGAACAATTATTACAGGGGATACGGTCAGCTGGTTTATCACATTTATTGAATCATACAGAAGAAAAAACCTCTACCACAAAGACGACTACGAAAGCAACAACAACAACGAAGAGGAAGAAGAAACGACCAACGTGTACTCCATAACGATCTTCAACATCTAAACAATACAGAATTTCTACTTAAAGCGAATTCTACAATGAAAGAAATAAAAATTAATAGCCGTACAATTAATACTTAAAACGAACTAGATAAAAAAGCTGAAAAGATTGAGAGAGGATATGTAAAAATACAATAACTGATAACTTTATTATTCTTATTCTTATTCTTATTATTATCATCACAATAATAAATAGAACAGATACAATAAATGAACAAATTTACGCTGAATGAACCTTGCTATGAACTCACTAAACTGACAATGTTTAGTAGCTTGTTATAACTGAGAGTATTAAGTGACTGTGTTTACTTCAACGATAAGAGTTATACTGTAAAGGAAAGTAAAATATGTCAATGAGATCGTTTATTGTGAGTATAAAGTTGTGGAGGTTGTTGAATTTCATTAAGTTCACGAACCAATCAGAGTGAGACAATCATTGGAGCTCCTCAGCAATGCACATCCACTAATCTTCAAAGAAGTCATACATTGAGATGGTGGAGATTTGTAGCTTAGGTGGATGATTTTGATGGAGTTTTGTTCTCTGAGCTGGATGGTTTGATCGTGGAGCTTTCATCGTTCTTCTGAACGACATCATCAGCACAAACATCAGATAGAAGTGAAGTGTTCGAAACAGTCAACGTCGAGGTGTATAGAACGAGCTGTGAAACGCATATGGATGATGTCGTTTAGAAGAACGATGAGAGCTCCACGATCAAAGCGTCCAGCCCAGAGAACAAAACTCTATTGAAGTCATACATTATTTCATTATGTAATAAGTGAGTATGTATTGTTGTACTGATGTACCGGTGTGATATGACAACTTGAATTGGTGCACATATGTGTCAGGTTCCACTTTGCACTTGAGTGACAGGTGACCGTGAATATATAAAACAAAGTCAATTCGTCAAATATTTTTCTTTATAAAAAAGCTATAGATAAATATACATTTATGTACACATACTTAGAGCAATGTAGTCATATTCTTCAGATATTGTATATTCTATAGCATATAATTAATGTATTTCAATGAGTTTGAGATGGATAGAAAACAGTGTCCACCTTTATTCAAATTGGGAACTTGTATCATAGAAAGTTGTCGATTCATCATCACCATTCATTCTTAAATTGACTTAAGTAAACATTCTCTGACGGTTTTTTAAATTCAACGAAATTATCACAAATCATCAATCGACGTTTTTCAAATACCCAACGTTGTAACCATTGAATTGGCCAATAAAATATAATCCACATACCAATGTAAAAGATATATGCCCATTTTAATCTATGAATAAATGGTGTTTCAAATCTGACTTCGCATAGGTTTTGGAGGAGAAACGTAATTAAGGAAGCGTATTGATAGACTGTTATTTAAAATATGTTGTTCTGTTGTGCCATGCCAAACACCGTGGTCCGGTCGAGAATGAGGAAAGTCTACTCTCGTTCGGCGTTGCGTTATTGCCCATACTAAAGATGTCCTACTCACTACTTACCCGCTTCCGAACTGTCATTTGCGCAAATGTCAGTGTAAAACACAAACGTTTAACACTAACCAGGTTGGTGAAGACGGAGAGTTCACCTAGGGTAGTTGGAGAATCCTGATTCCAGACCAATGTCTATCCAAGGAGGCCTCAGGGATCCCTTGGGAACGAATGACACACCAACCTGTTTTCGACACTGACTGCTATGAGACGCCATCCCCTGACTTTGCTCCACTGCGTTGTGGATAGGGACTTCTGTTCAAGGGCTTTGGGAGTGATCCTCTAAGAAAACCACCGTTCGGGTACCCGGTCAGTATCCTAGCACAGACCATTATTATTTGTGTGGCACATGCCTAGTTTTGGTGCCCATTCGTGTTAGATTCTATGTGAATTAAATAAATTGATAGTGGTTGCAGTGCGCACACACAGGTCCAATCTGATATTTGATGAACCGCTGTACATTTATAAAAAGTCGGAAACAAGATCTTAAGTTTGAATCCCTTGGTAGTTAAGCTTTATTTGTAGTCAGACAATACTGAACACTAACAATGTGTTATATTTCATTCAACATTTTCAACCCCCTTTTGTATGTATTGCATCGAGATGCCTAACAAAGGAATCTGTATATATGGTTGCAAGTAATAATTAATGACTTTAAAATGACATATTTCTTAAAGCTACAGGAAGAAAGGAGGTAGTTCATCTGGACCCGTTCTGTCGCGTGTCACCTAACATCTTCAGCTATTGATCACTACAATCGGTTGGACACTAGTCAGATTGTCTGGATCTAATAATGTGGCTCAGATCACCAGTTATTGGTTTAAGAAGTTGATGTCTCCCTTTAGTTCATCTGCCACTAGTTTCTCTCCAACTCACTCATACGACGACCAATATTCTACGTTGGGGGGGGATATTGGTGATGTGAGCCACATGTTGCAGTCACCTCATTGAACGAAATTTCACAATCTCATCAATCTACTTATCATCCCTGCCTGGTATCCTGCGTCTCACGTCAGCATCACTTACTCGGAAACCATACATCTGCGTCATATTGAACTGTCATCTAGGGTCTTCAGTTACAAATTATGGCTGGCTAACTATGAATTCTTCATCTCCTGATGAAGTTATGATCATTAGTTAAGATTGTTTTGTGAACTCATTCCATCACTTGTTTTGAATACCTTCTACATGATGATAATAATAAATGAATATATATATATATATATGAATGATTAAAACATTAAAAGGATACAATAGTTCTTGCTCTGGAAGATTTATTACCAATGTAATATGAAATGATTCTGATGGTTGGGCGTCTGTTTCGCTAGTTGACATATAATATTGTGTTTTTCCGAGATGAAGGGTCACTACAAATAAGCATGAGAAGGAAATAAACTAGGTATGCTGAATTATGTGGAGTAGTGTCTTAATAGTTGAGATGTTCGTTCGGCGTTCTTTCACTAAATCCCGAGTTGTAACCCTACTTCAACCTGAGTAACCGATTGATATCATTAGCCTTGACACTTAGAGTACAGCTCATTTCCAAGTATATGATGAAGGGGTACATTATTTAATCAACATCCTATGTACAGTGATACTTAGTTGGTGCTTTTAGTTTGATTGTTCTGCTCGGGTTGTTCACAAAACTTTAGCATGGATAATACTGAATGTCAATGCTGATTTTGTTCAGCATATGCTAACTGAAAGTTGAAATATGTGAAAGTTTTGTTGACTCGATGGTAGACTGAAAAGATTTCGGTGTGTATGCCACTCTAGTGTCTTGATAATTAAGGAGTCCGTTCAGCTTTCTTTCAATAAATCCAGATTTAAAACCCTACTTCATCCTGGGTAACTGAGTGACATCACTAGCATTCGCAGTCTGTGCTCTTATGTAGTTAAGCCTACATTCGAGTTAGAGATGGGGTAGATAAGCCAAATTTACTATCTACCTAGACCTGTGCTGGAGACAAGACGTATGAATGACTTAACCCACATAGGACATCAGCCCATGTTATCATTTCAAGTAGTGTATGGTTTTTCCTTTCAACTATGTATTGATTTTCACATGAAAAATTTCTTGATTTTACTCAATCTCTTAATTTTGCGTTGTTCATGTGAAAACGTTTCATGTACAACCGTTGCACAGCTGTACTCAGATTTGGCATATTTATTGTGAATGTAAGCATATGCCTAATAGAGTTCGTTAAACTGAAGTTTTTCACTTGGAGTACATTTTGCTGATGTCACCGAGTAATAAATCCTAATCTTATGTCGCTCTAATCCTTAGCACTCAAAAGATTCCATCGATCGAGTTTTAATGCGCGGTCTCTAGTTTAATTGGATTGGCATCGCGAGACATTTTGATGAGTTCCATGTAATTGGAAGTAGTCAACAGGAATTGATGAACTAAAGCTTTATATTAGTTGGGACTTGTCAGCTAGGTGTATCAAAACTGCACGCTATTTGGCGATTTAAATCAGGGTCCACGTTGTAACTTGTTCGATCTCATTCGACTAACAGGCATGTGTTATTGATTACTCTTCTCTGACTAAATAACTGGTTGACATCTCAGTCGTGCCCAGGCGCGGTGTAAATGTTCCAATAATAGCGCTCTCAACTTGGACATAAATTGACGGACACTCGTTCCCCATAGAAAGCGTCTGTTTCTTTGCGATTGCAGATACCAGCAAAACATGCTGAGGAATGTTGACTAGCATGAAAACTGAGCTCTCCATTTCCTGCCGACTACCGCCAATCATCTAGCTTGCAAACATAGTGCACCTGTTGCCAAGTCATTCAGACAAGTGTCAACACATTGAATCAATCCATGATATTTAGATGGAATATATCCTTTCTCAGTAAAGTGGAATTATCCAAATGAAACATTAATTTATAATCTGTTCCAGTTCATTTAATGGGTGAAATAACGATCACTGCTATTCATTAGCTTAATGTGACTAACAAATTTCTTCACATTTCTAGTGATGTCGGTAATTGGTTTAGCTGAAATCTTACTCATCTCTATGAAGCCATACTATAAATAGCATAACTTGTGTGTTTTCTAGAACCTATTTATTAACTAACTTTTGCTAAGTTAAACTGAGATTGAAATAAAACTATTCAAAGCCTCTTATAATAAACATTCCTCAATATTTATCAGGTTAAATGTGATTCATTTCAACAGTATGATACTGATAACAAGTTTTATGTATAAACTGTTTTGTAGTTTATTTTGTAGAAGAAAAACTTACAATTTCTATCTATCATATCATACATTGCATTGTTTATGTTTGAAATTATTGAATTATAACGTAAAGTATTCATATTCATTACAGGTCTCTATAAATTGAAAAGAAAATCCATTATATATGTGCATTAGTGATAAAATGACAAATATAAACTATGTAATACTTCCAAGCCTTATTCAAAAATGTTCAACAACTAAAAGACACTTGAAAATCTCGGTTGTTGTTTTGTCTTAAAACTCTACTCACTACTATGTGTATCCAAAGCCTTTAGGTCTCGACATGAGAATAACACCTTTGAGCTGAATTAAAATCTAGTAGTCCATCCATAGTTCTGACTGATAGGCTGAGTGGGTATGAACATGTCACGTGTCTAATCTCGTTCGCTCTCTCAAGGTCGGGCGTATGGAGTATACGTTGGTACATATATTTCACTATCTTAATGTCCTAAAAATTGTATATATTATCCATTACTGTTTCATCATGTTTCTCATATGGTTAACTCAAAACAATTCGATGATAACTCCTACCTTGATGTGGTGGTCAACTTTGTCGTGCTATATTGGCTGGAATACTTGTTATTTTGAGCCCTACCAGCCCAGAGAGCTCAACTAGAGGACAGTAAGACTAAAAGCCAGTTTAAGGTCAGAGGGAAAAATAGCAAGGAGACATGTAAACAGTAAAGTGTTTTCCTAAAATAACCAAGATTCGTAGCGACGCTACCTTACCACAAATGAAGGAGGGAGATTAGTAAAGGTCGCTTCGAAAAGTATCATGCCGTACCTTAACCTCACAGATTTTCATCTCTAACTGTAAGAGCTTTTAAAGTACGCAGCTAACACATAAAAAGCTTCGCACAAAATGGTTGTGACCGGCTTTAGGCAGTTGCTCCTTATGGATTTATTAACAGTTGTTTCTGAGGTTCTTCGGTCATGCTCCCAGGTCTTCATAACCACCCCTAACCCAATTTACTTCTGAGTTCTCTCAAGAAATGTCCTTCTATTGTGTGGGCAACCGGGAAGTGACAACCGACCACACAATTCTCACAGTTATCGATATTATCTTTAACTAAAATAAAAGGTAATACATCACGTTTGATATTCCGTTCACAGTTTCGTTTGCTGTAGAAACCAGGAAGCCATACGTTAGGAGTGGGTGTATTAAGATCTAATGTGATGTAACAGATATAGAAGAAGTAATCATTTTGTGTTCCTGCCTCTTCTTATTCTGATAAGTTATACTACCTTGACTATTTTCCATAACTAAATGGGGTTTCAATCCCTTAACATTTTCAATCAGTTGGTTGATGACTCGCAGTGGTTTTCGTTGTTGTGCTATCAGTTAGGGATTTTGTGTTCTGTGAGTCAGGTGATTTAGTCATGCAGCTTTCAGTGTGTTCCTTGACAACGAAATTCAAAGCATCGACAATCTGCAGTTTACTCTTGGTCACTTATCTGTAACTAGTTTTTATGCGTC